AAGGAGAAATGGCAGAGGGGTCAAGCGACAGAAGGACCCCTGACTCGGGCTTGGGGGTTGGGAAGTCCGAGATCAGATCTCCGTTTAGAACTAGCCCTCTGGCTGGAAAATGGATGGGTATTCCTTCATGTCAGCCCCTCTAAATACCTTAGCTCCTCATATGCCCTATTCCCATACCTCCCCTGAATTTCTCAGCTCAGCTCTTCATCCCCAGTGCCTGGGACCTTATTCAGACACCTCAACTCCTCACCCCCAAACCCTACAGTTCTCACCCCAAACAGCCTTTGTCTCTCACTCCAAAATTTCAGTTCCCTGTGCTCAAGTCCTCACCTCAAACTCCTCAGCTCTTTCTTTAAAAAATATTATAGTTACCAATTTAATACAGGGCTTAGTCCTTTTTACAGCTCTTAGACACAGGAGGGATGGGAAAACACTACCACTGAGGACAGTGGCTTGCTGCGAGCAGTTCTCCCCAAGGATGGGGCCTACCAACTTTACTGTGCATGGTAGAGGTTTCAAAAAGCCCACTGGCTTTTCCTAATGTGTCTTCCAGGTGAGGAAGAGGCTTCCCTCACTCCTTGTCAGTTTGAGGACTGCTTATTTATTTATTTACTTATTTATTCAGACAGAGTCTCACTCTGTCACCCTGGGGTTGAGTGCTATGGCGTCATTATAGCTCACAGCAACCTCAAACTCTTGGGCTCAAGAGATCCTCATGAGCTTGGCACTTGTAGCTCCAAGCGGTTAAGGCAGCAGCCACATACACCAGAGCTGGTGGGTTCGAATCCAGCCCGGGCCTGCCAAACAACAATGACAACTACAACCAAAACATAGCTGGGCGTTGTGGCAGGCGCTTGTAGTCCCAGCTACTTGGGAGACTGAGGCAAGAGAATCGGTTAAGCCCAGGAGTTGCAGGTTGCTGTGAGCTGTGATTCTTAAGGCACTCTACCCAGGGTGACAGCTTGAAGCTCTGCCTCAAAAAAAAAAAAAAAAGAAAGAGCGATCCTCATGCTTCAGCTTCCCAAGTAGCTTGGATTATAAGAGCCTACCACAATACCCGGCTGGTTTTCCTATTTTTAGTAGAGACAGGGTCTCTTGCTCAGGCTGGTCTTGAACTGTAGCAATCCACCCTCCTCGGCCTCTCAGAGTGGAAGCTTGCTTATTTAAATGGTTTTATTTGCCTTTCTCACTTTCCCCTATCCCCATTATTTCTTCTCTCGAGTTTCAAATGCCTCACCACTAATAATTTTCTCAGAGTTCCTTGGAAAAAAGCCATAAAATAACCTCATCACTCCTCATTCTCCAAAGCTAGTCATAGAATCTTAAAGTTGGGGGGATCCCCAGTGGATAGCAAACTTCTTTTTAGCCAAGGACTCTTAACTTTAAATCATATGGAACCCCAATATACGTGGTGAACAGCCACTGGGACCTGGCTGTGTAACCCCTAAGATTCTGCCAAACATGGATTGAAAACCTCTTGTGGATACAAGACCTCAGAGGTTTCAGAGATAAAGATCAGCCAGGGGGGCACCTCTGGTGATTATCAGGGCATTGCATCGATTTCCTGTGTCATTCCCTGTTCTCTGAGCTCTGGGCACAGCTTGAGTGCTGGCACTGCCCAGGGGAGCGGCTGCAACCGGAACAGCGAAGCCTGACGACCCCCTGAGGTTGCCATAGATACTGATGCACAGGGAGCTGGTGAGCTTCTTATTATTTGTCTGTATCTTCCCTCTAATTGCTGCAGGGTAGCTGGAGGTTGTGTGGGTGCTACAGCAATGGAGATTGAGGAGGGTAGGTGCTTTTGTGTGCGCACGAAGTGTCCACAGGCTCCAAATTGCCACTGTGGACGCTTCAGAATCTGTGCCATTGAGAGGAATCGTGACGGAGGAAGAAGTGATATAGAGATAGAAAGGAAAAAAGAGAGAATGGATTGAATTTCCTTCTGTGCAAATTCTGATTTTCCAGTTTATTTGGATGTTTTGCAAAGTAAAGGGCAGTGCCAAGCCCATAGTAGGCAGTTGATAAATATTTGTTGAAAGCCGGCTAGCTCCACTTACATGGTACTGTGAGTCATCCTAAGGGTTCACCCCAATAGTTTTCTCATCACTCTTCCTTTTACCTAGAGACACAATGTAAAATGTTTTATATGGTTAACCTGAAACACCCAGTGTAGAACTTTCACCCTCAGCCATGAAGATTTGCCTCTTACTGCAGGTACCTGAGATCGATCAGGGATGTTGTCCTGTTTTTACGTTTGCCCTGGGATCTCCTAGGGGACACTACGGCAGCCCTCGTCTGTGCTTGTTCTGACCTTTCTGGTCTCCTCATTCCATCTTATGTTAATGAATATAAAGTTTCAAGTATCAGTCTGGAGGTCAGGAACCAAGTCGCCCTGAGCACCAGAGAAGGACACATTAATGATCAACTGATATTCGGCCCCCATTTCCAGAGTGCAGGCTATCTGCTGCTTCTGCCTTTGAAGTGGATAATAGAAACTCAACACTTATTGACATCCCCATGTATACAATCTCATTGCCCTACCCACACTGGGATGTGGGACTTGGCTCTTCCTTGTGTACTGTGCATAGGAAGTGGCCTTACTCTCCACTGCTTTACTTCCTGTTGTCCTGGGGAGGAGTAAGGCATGAGGCTCTGTCACCTTTACCCTTTCCCTTGGCTCTCTCTGCCTTCCTCCCAAGCAATCTACTAATGCAGCAGCAATTCTCAACCTGTGGGTCACAACCTGTGGGTTGAGAACCACTGTGCTAATGCCTTCCTCTTGGGCTCAGCTCCCTCTTGTTTCCTAATTGCCCTCACTGGGCAGTCTGGTTTTCAGAATAGCTTCCAGGCTATCGCAGAAGGACTGGAGGGAAGCCCTCCTTGATAGCTTGGCTCCTCCCACCTCTCAAGGACCAGGCCTGGGAGGCTGGGACACATCTCAGCCTCTCAACTGTCTCCTCTGGCAGAGTGAACCTGCTGACAATGGAGGCCCAACTCCCAGTGGATGTCCTGCTGTAATCAAGACTAAGCTGCAGCACTTGGCTAAGCTCCACCTTGCCCAGTTGAGGCTCCAACTCCAGGTACAGCTGCCCCGGCAGGTAGGGAGCCTGCCTAGCCTGTTTGTTCTCTATGAAGACAGTTACATGTCTCTGTCCCCACCAATCTATTAAAATGGGGTCAGAAGAGGAGGTGGTAACTTCCTTTGCCAATTGTGCAAATATTTATTGAGAGCTTGGAGCTGAGTATACAACGGTGAACAGAAGGCCGGGCGTAGTGCCTCACGCTGTAATCCTAGCACTCTGGGAGGCTGAGGTGGGTGGATTGCCTGAGCTCATAGGTTCAAGACCAGCCTGAGCAAGTGGAGACTCCGTCTCTAAAAAGAAAAAAAAATGGCCAGGTGTTGTGTCAGGTGCCTGTAGTCCTAGCTACTCAGGAGGCTGAGACAAGAGAATCACTTGAATCCAAGAGTTTGAGGCTGCTGTGAGCTATGACGCCATGGCAGTCTACTGAGGGTGACAGAATGAGACTTGTCTCAAACAAACAAACAAAAGAACAACCAATGGTGAACAAAGGAGGCAGGAGTCCTGCCCTGTTGAAGCCTATAATTTAGTGGGAAGGCAAATATTAAATAAATTATAACAGCAAACATAATTCTGAGTAGGTACCAGGTACTATTTAAGTACTTAATGTGATTTACCCCCATATAATGCTCACAAGCCTGCACAGTAGATAACACTATTATTCCCAGTTTTCAGACTAGGTAACTGAGGCAAATTATTTACCCAGGGTCACACAGCTGGTTAGTAAGTTGCCCAGAAATCCAAGCCAGGTAGTTTAATTCCAGAGTTCTTTTTTTCTGCCTTTTTTTTTTTTTAATACAGAGTCTCACTTTGTTGCCCAGGCTAGAGTGCCATGGCATCAACCTAGCTCATAGCAACCTCAGACTCGTAGGTTTAAGTGACCCTACTGTCTCAGCCTCCCATACAGTAGCTGGGACTACAGGCACCTGCCACAACACCCTGCTAATTTTTCTATTTTTAGTAGAGATGGGGTCTCCACCTTGCTCAGGCCAGTCTTCAAGGGATCCTCCTGGCTTGGCCTCCCAGAGTGCTAGAATTACATAGGTGTGAGCCACTACATCCTGCCCCAGAGTTCACTCTTTATATAGCTATGCTGTTACAACCTTTCATACCAGTAAATATACCATTACAAAATGTGCTAAGTGCCATGAAATGAAAGTACAGGGTGCCCTCCAAGAAAATAGGGGATGTTTTCTCTTTCTTTCCACTTGCTCTTCTAACTTCCAGTGCACAAACCCTTTTCAAATCATTCACACTTCATCCATTTCCTTACTGGCCTGAGAGAGAACATTTTCTCACCTCTCAGGTTGAAATACAGGAAGGCAAAGTTCCACCTGTATCCTTGTCCCTGGCCTGGTCTCCCTGATCAGACTCCTCCTGAAGGTTCCCCCCTCCCCCATAAGGGCCCTGATGCTTGCCCAAGTCTAAATTGTCATCTCCCAAAGGGAAGCTGTTGGCAGCTAGCTCTGCACTGGCTGGGGTGGGGCACCGCCTAAGCGTGCAGTCTGACACAGGTTCCTTGACCTTGGTCCTCTCTCTACAAGGTGTGAAGCAGGTTGTAGGGCCCTTCCAGGGAGTTCGGTGGTCTAGACCCCTACACCATTCTTGACACACACACCCTCGCACAAACATTCCCGAGCCCTTGCAGAGTCCGACTCCCTGCTCGCCCTTGTGGGACAAGCGCACAAGCCGCGCGCGAACCTTTCAGCTCTGTCCAGCCGGGGCGGGCAGCCCAGAGTTGGACACCTCTCCCCTTGACTCCTCTACTAGCCCGGTCCAGCCCGGGCGGCTCCCGAAGTGGGGCGGGGCCGGCGGCGGGAGGCCCCTCCCCGGGGGCGGTCCGGGGGCCGGGCGGGGGGCCGGCAGGGCTGGGGGCGGGGCAGGCGGGCGGGCGCGGGGGTGTCCCTCCCTCCCTCGCTTTCCCCGGTAAAGTCTCGCGGTGCTGCCGGGCTCAGCCCCGTCTCCTCCTCTTGCTCCCTCGGCCGGGCAGCGGTGACTGTGCACCGACGTCGGCGCGGGCTGCACCGCCGCGTCCGCACGCCCGCCCGCCAGCATGGCCACCACCGCCACCTGCACCCGCTTCACCGACGACTACCAGCTCTTCGAGGAGCTCGGCAAGTACGGCCAACCCGCCGCCCGTCACGGCCCCGCACCCTGCCCCTGCCGCCTGGGCGCTATGCGGTTCCTCGCCCCGCCCCCCGGCCCTGCACCGGCCGCTGCAGCGCCCCCTCGTCCCGCCCCACCCCCAGCCTTTCCCGCCAGCCGCCTTCGGGGGCCCCCTCGTCCCCAGCTCCCGGTTCTGCAGCCCCCTCCGCGCCCTGCAGCAGCTGCCCGGGCTGCTGCACCCCTCGCTGCCGCTGGCACCGCAGCCCGCGGACCGCTCCTGGGCGCCCTCCAGCCCCGCCCCTCCTGCACCTCTCTGGAGCCCCTCTCCCTGGCTGACCCCTCTTTACCGCTGCCCCTCCCCGCCCGGTTCTGGAGCTCACTCTGCACACTAAACCCAGGTCCCACGCGCCTGGCACTCAGACCCTCCCCAGCCCTGCAGCTCCAACCCCCGCTGCGGTGCCTGGGTGTGGGGGGGATGTTCGGTCCCGGCCCCGCCCCCCGCTAGTGCCGCTTCCAGGATCCGTGCCCCGGTGCTGGGCAGTGCTGCGGCACCCCCGTCCCCTCCCCCCATCCCTGCAGTGGTCCCGGGAGCCGGGCGCCGCAGCCGCAGCATCCCCCTCCCCTCCGCACTGAGCTGGCCGCTGCAGCAGCCCTGGCCCCCACCCCCACCCGCGGCGCCGAGCCGGTCCACTGCAGCCCCCGCCCTACCCGCCCCCTAGACATTTCCAGAGCCAGAGAGTGCCCTCTCCCATTTGGGGAGGGGGCATAAGGGAAAACTGCCGGGAAGGGGAGCTGGGGACGTCAGACTGTGTCCTCTCCTTGCTGTCAGTTGGGCTGGGATGCGGTGGGATGAAGCTGGTTGTGGGGGGGTAGAGCCTCACTTTGCTCTATGGTTGAGGGAGATCTCTCTCTCTCTCAGGGGATATATATCCTCTTTAAATCACTCTTTCCCCTACCCTCAACTATTTCTCCTGAGGGAAGAGCAGGGTCTCTTTCGTCCGGTCTCTCTCCTGGTTCTCTTCCCAGGACTGCAGGGCTATCAGTGCGATGCAGCAGGTGTGTGTTTTAAGCATCGCCCACCAGCTCCTGATGTACAGCCCGAGGTTGGGGCTGTTGCTTTGCCCGGGGACTGGATGAGGGGGCAGGAGCCTGGCGATACACTACCCACATCTGTTCAGTGTCATGCAGTGGCCGCCTCCTGCTTTGTGTTGGATGGTGGTGGCCACTGCACTGATGTGAGTGTGACTAAAGGTCTGGTGGTAGGAGCATCACTGTCCTCAGACCTGAAATGTGTCTCTGTCACTCTGCCCTGCTTGGTGTCCCAGTTCTTTCCCCCTTCTCCCTCCAGGGGTGCTTTCTCTGTGGTCCGCAGGTGTGTGAAGAAAACCTCTACGCAAGAGTATGCAGCAAAAATCATCAATACTAAGAAGTTGTCTGCCCGGGGTGAGTGCTCCCCATCTTGGCCTCCTCCTGGGCATGCCTTCAGGGGCTATTGCTGCTTTTGAAGATGCCCCAGGAGTTGAGGGTTGTGTTTTAGCACTTGAAGAAGAGTTGGGATTTCAGAATGGGTGAACTTTGAAATCAGGCAGGGAGTTGCATGGGGCCCTGAAAGTGCTCAGGTAGAAAAGAATGAAGTAAGAGACTAGGTAGAAGAGAATGAAGTAAGTAAGAGACATAGGTAGTAGCTGCAGTGGTCCCTGAAGGCTCAAGGCAGTTCACTCCTTAAGGAGATGGAGGATATGTAGGTAGTGGGTGGTATGGAATGGAGAGCTCTTAATTTGGGGCATTTGGAGCCTCTCTCTTTGGGGCAGTGGTGGCCACTGCAGACCTGTCCTCATCCCTGTGCCCCAGTAGTGACATCGGATGGAAATGCAGTAAGTGAGCAGCTCTGACAAAGCCAGCCTCCCCTGCCCACCAGGCGGCAGAACAGACTCCCAAGGGAAGGGAATCTGTAAACATCAGGGGAGGCTGGCGAGGGCTTCTCAGGAACAAATCCTGCCAGATGAACTTGATTGCTTTTTTGATCAAATTACAAAGTTTGTGGTGTAGCAGCAGATGTCCTGTGTCCTGGGTGGAGGGTGATGTCTCATGGTCTAGAAATCCTACTGCTTTGAGGTCTGAGGAGCATGAAGGCCCAGGCCTTGGAGCCTCCCAAGTATCTGAGGCTGTTAGGGCTAGGGACTTTCACATCTCTAAGGTACACTTTCAAAAGCTCATATTGGGTGCTTGCCAAGCTCACCTCATCTGATAGGTGTAGATACAGCAATGTATTAGGTACTCTGGGAATGGGTCAGGTCATCAAGGACTGGAGGGTGCATCTTGGGGACAAAGGTTATAAGGCTCAGAGAAAGGAATTAGGGCCAGGCAATAGGATACCATAAATATATTAGGGGCCAGGACAAATGCCCTGGGGAAGACATAGGCTTTGGCCAGTAATGATGTGGGTATCTCTGGTATAAGAGATGTAATAAATGTCCCTGGCATTCAGAGAAGCTATAAAATTCCACAGAGATGACAGTGGGCTTCAGTAATGTTGGCAGTTGTTCTGGGACCTGTTTAGCAGGGCTGTTTCTGCCCCTTGGCTGGAGAGTCTCTCTTCATTCCCACCAGCAGGGCTTGTCTTGCTGTCTCGCACCCAGCCTCCCGTCTCTTGCTGTTCCTGGGCATGGGCTGTAAAGTTGAGTTGTTTATTTTCTTTCTCTCTGGGTACCTTGAGTCTGAGGATAGTTGCCATAGAGATATGTGGATGGTCAGATGCCCTCCTCTCCTGGGATGAGGAGGCAGTTGGGAGTGGGCTCTGGGGCGGGATGGAAGGTGCAGGCAGGGTTGATGGTTGGAGGGTGGATACCTCCCTGTGCCCACGTAACAGCTCTGGTGCATCAGAAGTGGGGCTGGTGTCTGGTGTCTACAGTTGATGATGCAATGTTTTGCTTTACTCATCTCACCAGTGTCCTCCAACCCAGGGCTGAGGGAGGGAGAGACAGCTGGGAACCGAATTCTGGGTTGCAAGGGTAGCTGGTGTGGTGACTTTGCAGGGCTGCCTGACTTGGACTTTCATTTTTCACTCCTTCCCTTCCCACCTGAACTTCTCTGGCCCATGAGATAGCATCCATCCCCTTCCTCCTTTAAACCTTGTCCTGTCTTTCCCAATTGTTATCTTTTTTTCTTCCTGTTCAAACTGGATGTTTGAGTTTTGATTATTTTACCCCCTTCAAGAACAGGATTCCTATGTAAAAAGATGTGCTTCAGATAGCAATTCTCCCTCTCTTGAGGTGATTATGCCAAGTTGGCTCTGTTATGTGGCCAGGTTGGCTTTGGGATGGAGGCCTGGTCCTGGCTGATAGGCATAGAAGCCTAGCAGAGGGGTCAGGAATGTGTAGGTGCCAGCCAGTACTGTTTGGAGATAGGAGAGTGGGAGGATGTTGTCTTGGAGATGGAAGAAATGGTATGGGGGGGCTGGCCTGTGAGTGTGGGCATGGGGGATGTGAGCTCCCAGAGAGTGTTGGGCCGGGGTACCCTCTATGCTTGAGTCCATGGGGTTAGGGAATGAGGGCTGTGGCTTCCTGCAGCCTCTCAGTTTACGCTGTATATTTTATAAAGGTGCAGCAGCTGGGGCTGGGTTTCACTCGGTGCTGTCTGTTTAGGGCTCCGCAGGTGTTGAATTTCTGTGTCTAGGAATGTCTTGGGCCCACCAGGGTCACTTGTGAAGGTCTGGAGGGGCTTGCTGTGTTTGCTGGGTCTCCCCACCTGCTTACTAGCTCTTGTTTGTGATTCTCTGTGCTGCAGACCGAAAGGAAAGAAAGGGTATAGAGCTGTTTCTCCTTGGCATCCACGGTAAGGTGGCCCAAGAGGCAGGGAGAAATCACCTGGTCGTTTGGGGGACCATACCTGGATGGGCAGCTCTCTTTTGGGCTGTTGTGTCTTGTCATTGAGGCTCATGTTGGTGTCTGGGCTGCAAGGTAGTGAGTTTGCATGGATGTGCGTTGAGCACAGTCTTTGCAAGCTAATCTACATAAAGTCACTGAAAGTCACATACGTCACTCTGTTTGCTTCAGAACAGCAATAGGAGTGGAATTTGGGCTCTTAAGGGAGCCCATGGTTCCAAGCTTAGCTCCGCTAGGCCGAAGGAGGCATTTAAAATAGGCTTGGATGCAGGAGCTAGTGGGCCAGGTGATGGCAATGATAAGTCGTTATTTTAAGATTTAAGAGCACCCCCCCCCAAAGAGCCTGAGCCCTTATGTCTTTTTTTATTTTTAAATCTTTATATTCCCTTCTTATCTTTATTCATATGCATACATATTTTCACCTCATAGAGCGTAACATTTTATATCCTGCTCTCTTTACTTATATCCAGAGCATTTCCCCACATCACTACAGTTGAAGGGCAAACAATCCTTTCTTTCTTCTACATATTTTAGGATTTACCCTTGGAATGATCAGCATCATAAGAAACCTCTGTATTTGGACCATTTATCTGGATGCCAATTGCTTTCACTAAGATGGATTCTAGGCTAATGCCCTTGGCCTTACTAAGAGATGCTACCAGAAACAAGAGTTATGAAATCTGTTGCAGCACTTGCTGTATTTATTTATTTAATCTATATACCCCATATGAAGAAATTTCTATTGAAGCTAAACATAAGCAAAAGCTTTCCTCACCTTCTTAGAAGGTGAGGAAGAGCCTTTAAAAGGTGAGGAAGAGCCTTTATCTGTTTCTTTATTTCTGGGTAGGCAGGCCCTAGCAAAGTACCTAATAGACACCAAGCACATACACATTAAATGAATGGATTCAGAAGACTGTGTAACCAATCATGGTTGCCTTTTGGCTTTGGCTCCCAAGAAACTCAGAGTCAAGTTGTTGGAATCCTTTTACCCTGTTCCTGGCTTGGGTCCTCCCTTTCTGATCCAGGGAGCCAGACTGTAGACCTGATACGGTTGCTGAAAGAGAGGACAGATGAGGCTAAAGACCTGTGCTTAGGATATAAGGCAGGGCAGGAGATGTAGAAAGACAGTGAAGCTTAGGAGTCCTCCTTCCTTGTCACTAATAGCCTTATAGAGCCACTGTTGGGACTTTCTCTAAGCAGTGATTTTTCACTTTTAGTGTACATAAGGATTACCTTCAGTAGTTGTTAAAAATTCAGATTCCTGGGCTCCATTCACAAAGATTCTGCTTTAGGAGTTCTGTGATGGGGCCTCAAAATCTGTATGCTTAATGCATGCCCAGCAGAATTTCACAATAGGTGGTATGCCAGCCACTGTTTAAGAGATGCCATATAGGCTGGGCATAGTGGATTATATCTTTAATCCTAACACTCTGGGAGGCTGAGGTATGAGAATCCCTTGAGCTCAGGAGTTTGAGACCAGCTTAAGCAAGAGCAAGACCTTGTCTCTATTTAAAAAAAAAATAGAAAAAGTAGTCAGCTGTTATGGTGGGTGCCTATAGTCCCAGCTACTCAGGAGGCTGAGGCAGGAGGAGCACTTGAAGCCAGGAATTGAGGTTGCTGTGAGTTAGGCTGAAGCTATAGCACTCTGGCCTGGGATAGACTGTTTCCAAAAAAAAAAAAAAAAAAGAAGAAGAGATTCCATCTAAAGTCAGCAACAGCGACAGTTGCTCTTGCCATGCTATCTGGAATTCACCAGACGCACCTTGGCTCAGCCTTCTCCAGGTGGTGTCTCTGCTGGTATGTGGCCATCTGTGTACATGGGCTGTTCTGTGGTTAGGGGCCTCATCTGGGCCCCTGGATTGGAGTGTCAATCTCTGTCTGAGGCTGTGGCAGGCTGGGTAGCTGGGGTTGTGGCATGTTGGCCACCAGAAGGATAAAGGCTGTCTCTTTCTGGGTCCAGCTGGCCCTGGGGACTGAAATGGGATCCCCTTAAATGGTGCCAGCTGAAAGTCCCCACCCCCTTAATGTTGGCCTGAGTAGCCCCCATGACATTTGTGTCCCCTGTGGTATCTCCAAGTGAGACTTTCCTGTTAAGGGTCTGGGTGAAGGGAGGGGGAGGGAAGGAAGGAGGACCAGGAGGAAAAATCCTTTCAGCTCTGGGACGCTGGGCTTTAAGGAAGCATTTAAGGAGGCTGTGTACAAAATCATGCTTTCCTCCAGAGGATAAAACAAGCCAATTTCTGTAAAGAGAGAAATGGGATATCCTGCATATAAGTGATTGAACACCCCTGACTTCTCTCCTGAAGAGATGAGGAAGGGAGGTCCTTCCTCTGTGCCAAGGCTCCTGCAGGGCCACTTTCGTTGTGCAGTCACGATGCAAGCTTGGGCCATAGCTCGCACTACACTAGCCTGTCACCCTGCCCTCCCACTCACCTTCCCAGAGTGACTGGGGGTGCTGTCTTGGGGTGGGGGCGAAGGTTGGAGGATGGCCCCATCCCATAGGAGAAGCCTCTGTTCTGCCCTGCTGCTGGCTCCAGCCCTTTGTCATCATACCCTTGT